TTGATTGAAGAGGGAGTTCCTTCTTAACCCTTTTTTTTTGTAGTGGGGTAGAAGGTCAACGTCTTCATTATTGTTATAGTGGAACACACCTATTCTATAGTTAATAGATTCTCCCACCTATAATAAGTAGGAGTAGTAAGAGTAACGTGGAAGTCGCTCAGTGAGTTGGTCTGAGTTCAGTCTGAAGTCGGACGACCGGCTGACCGGTTGAACTCTCTGCCTTCGGGCGGGGAGGAACCCGAAAGAGGCTACGCCGAAGGGTGGAGTCTCTTTCGAGGAGGTAAACCGACCCTGAACCCGTTTATACGGGTTTTAAAAGGGCATATTTTTGGCCGAGCCCACGGGCTCGGAGATCCCACGTTAAACCGGCCTTGTGCCACATGATGCCCATGTGGGGTGTGACTAAATACCGTCGCTCAGTGAGTTGGTCAGTCAGTCGATGTCGGACGACCGTTAGTCGGATATTAAAGTATCAGCGATTACCCCTAGATTTCTCTGCGTCACTACCTATTATATCAAGTTCCTAACGTTTTGTACGTCGAACCTATTTTAGGACCGACTTAGTACAAATACAAGATTCCACTGTGAAACTACTCCATGACAAGTATGTTATTATTTTCCCTTCGAGATACATGTAAGAACCATTTTAGTTGTAGCTGCTGTTGGTAATCTTCAAGTGATATTCTTTCTGTTATTTGGTACAGTCCGTTTTTAGTGATTCTGTAGTGACAGTTCATAAGTTTCGGAGAAGTATGGTCCTCTCTAAGACCTACAGGATTCATTCGATGGAAGCCATTTTTAATCATTGATCTAAGAATATCATTATACACAGACAATTTAGATATTAATGACCGAAGTCAGTGACCTGCATTATATCCATATGAAAGACTCAATTCGTCGTGAAATTTAGGTTTTATTTACTCTATTTACATTATTCGGACTGTTGTTCTCATCTTCGTTCACTATGTTTCGGTCCTTGTCCGCTCCGGCCTTCTTCAGATGATTGGAATTTTTAACTGAATCATTTATTTCGTACACCGGTGTAGATTGTTCTTAGTCCACGTGCCATGCCTCTGCCACATGCCTCAGTATCAGTTATCTCCCTTTAACTCAACTCTCCAAGTTCTTGTTCAATACCTGGCTACAGCAGAGGTGAACAAGAACTTGGGGAGTTGAGTTAAAGGGAGATAATTGATACTGAGATAGCCAGAAGAAGCATGGCAAGTGGAACTAGAACAATCTACCCCGGCGGACGAAATAAAAGGTTCAGTTCAAAATTCCAATAACCTGAAGAAGGCCGGAGCGTATTCGTGAAAATGAGGACAACGATCTGAACAATGTAAATAGTGTAAACAATTACAATCCATCATCTCAGAAATATAGGCAGATGTGGAAAGTGAATATGACAATAAAGATAAGGACAGCAATCCGAACAATGTAAATCGTGTAAATAATTAAAATACCTAATCTCAGAAATATAGACAGACTATATGGTTTAATTATACATTTGTTTTACCTCAGTATAAGAATTTCTGTGGGAACCGCCTTTCAAGATTTGGGAATCGTTTTATTTTTAGTTTTACCGACTGAAATTCAAGTCTTGGCGGGTAATTCTGTTCGTGTCTCTATACTAAGCTTGCTAACAGAAATAGTCGATTTAAGATGGTTATTTTGAAAAGTAGAATATATGGGTAGAGAATGTTTTAATCATTGTATGTAGGTCAGTCCGGACTAATTTCTTTTTTTGTTTTGTTTTTTTTTTATCCCAAAATTTTGTTCTTATTAAATGGATGGAATTTACCGACATCCAACAAGAAAAAAAAAAATAAGACGGGAATATTTTGAGTAAAATTCGATCCTGAAAAGAAAGATTTTAATGCAAATCAATAAGGATTTTCAAAATAATCCTTCAAAATTATGCGTCACGCTCGTACGCAGTTACACATATGCAAATACGTATATATACCATATTTATACATATACGTAAGATCATACATGCACATAGATAGATAGATAGATAGATAGATAGATAGATAGATAGATAGATAGATAGATAGATAGATAGATAGGGAGAGAGAACACCTTAGATAAGGAACAGGCTGATAGGTAGATAGAGAGAGAATGAAGAGACCGATAATGAAAAGACTGATAGATAGATAGATAGATAGATAGATAGATAGATAGATAGATAGATAGGAAGAGAGAACACAGATAAGGAACAGGCTGATAGGTAGATAGAGAGAGAATGAAGAGACCGATAATGAAAAGACTGATAGATAGATAGATAGATAGATAGATAGATAGATAGATAGATAGATAGATAGATAGATAGATAGATAAGGAGAGAGAACACCTTAGATAAGGAACAGGCTGATAGGTAGATAGAGAGAGAATGAAGAGACCGATAATGAAAAGACTGATAGATAGATAGATAGATAGATAGATAGATAGATAGATAGATAGATAGATAGATAGATAGATAGATTTTATATAAACGAACCTATTCTTACTTACAAGTAGATAAATAATGAGCCACACGCAAATACATACAAATATATATATATATATATATATGTGTGTGTGTGTGTGTGTGTGCGTGCGTGTGTGTCTGCATTTCATTGAATATGACAGGCAAGAAAAATCTTAAAATACTTTTTAAAAAAAAAAGAAAAAAAAGAAAGATGCTCAATTGAATTCAAGCCATGCTTAACAAACCAAGCTCGGAATAAACGCTCCTACTAATATTCAAAGCATCACAAAAAATACATCTTAAACAGTTAAACATGAAGAGAAATTAATAAGACCTTAAAACCAATCCCCTTCAAAATGGCTAAAGAAGTAGCCGACGACCTTGCGTAAAGGAACAATACGGATAATTTTTGCACACGAATACGCCCACCAAGCGAAACAAAAAATAAATGTAAGAATATTAAAAAGACTAAATAATTAATTAATCAAATTTTCCTTGTCTGTCATATTCAACGAAATATATTTAAAAGAAAGTTTGCTTCCAAAATAAATAAATATATATATATGTGTGTGTGTGTGTATATATATATATATATATATATATATATATATATTAGCTTAAGTGTAAATAATTACAATACATCATCTCAGAAAGCTTAATATATAATATTATCGGGCGGCGTTTAAGCTAGCTCGTGAGTAGGGCTTTTAATTGGGCTTCCGGCTTGTTCAGGAGTTTTTGGAGTCTTTGAATATTCTCAGCATTGGAAGCTCTCCTGGCTGCCGTTTGGTCTGGTTTCTCATTTTCATGAGACTTTCTTTTCCTCGCTGCATCCTTGTCTCTTTTGATTGCAATCTGGTCCTCTTTTGGCAGAGATTTCTTTTTGCGAGTCATACTGCTGCCGTATGCGATAATCAATAATAAACTGAAGAAGAACTCAAAATTGATCGATGCATTTAAGTATTGCATTAATATTCAAGCTTACCTTTTGAAAGTTCAACGATATTTTTTCTGCCGCTACTTAATTTAAAGACAATTTGATGTACGTAGGTCTTTACTTTCCTTACAGACAATTATTTTTATTTCATGCGTAACTTTCGCTGGATTTCGATTATTCCTAAATTTGTTTCCAAGTTATAAAAAATATTATCGTGCAAAAAATTCATCGCAAAATATCACGTAAAAAATAATAATATGAAAACGAATATGGATATGAATCCCAAATTTCAGGTGACACACTCTATTGAAAGTTAGAAGCTAAGATGGCGGAATTCAAAAATAATCGTAGTAATAAGAACTTTGGAATCCAAAATTTCAGGATTGCGGTTCCGCATCCGAGCTGGAATGTTTCAAATTTGCTCACGGTTTTGATTCCAAAATATGTTGGGCTACGGCCTCTAGGAGTAAGGTTAAAAAATTGTGACACACTAACATTCGCATTTATATATATATATATATATATATGTGTGTGTGTGTGTGTGTGTGTGTGTGTGTGTGTGCGTGTGTGTGTCTGTGTCTGTGTGCATACATATATATATATATATATATATATATATATATATATATTATTTTTATAAAAAATTATAACATAAGTATGTTATAAAATCACTACAAAAATGGCCATTCTGTTTCAACACACTCTGTGTCTTATCAAGTGATGATGTTGAAAAGAAAATAAATGGTTTTAAAAGTTTCAGATTAATTAACGATCCTACACTGGGGAAACATTGTTACAAAAGCTAGAATAACCAATCTAAAACGAAGTATAGAAAGATTCAAAAGCTTGACAACGAAATCCTGCTATAATAGCTATTCAGATCTTTAAATACGTGTAATATTAAAAATAATTTATACTAACTAATAATTATAAAATTATATGATAAAATTTAATATTAAAATTAAAAACTGGCAATTTTAAAATCCAAATTTAATCACTATTAAGTTTAAAAACTACAAAATTATTGAGAAAAAAAAAAAAATATATATATATATATATATATATATATATATATATATAACCGTTTCACCCCAAGTAAGGATATAGTGCCACTAAGACACAGGGGGTTGCAAGAAATGAAAGAGAATGAGAAGTCTTTAGTGAAAAGGATTGAAGAAAGGACAATAAATGAACAGAGTTAAAAAAAAAAAAAAATGACATGATAGCGATTGATGTTGCATTTAAATTTTTGAACATTCTTGGTGTCGAGAAAACAAGAAATGGCGCGGGTTCAGCTCAACAGGTGAGAAGTGCAAGAAAAGGTTTAGAACAGTTAGAATAGAAGTACCTTCTTGAATAGCCGCTGTTAATATCGTGTAGACAAAAATAACTAATTCCAATATATAACGGACAAATTGGACGCCTCGAGGTGGTGTAATGGTTAGCAAGCTTGTCTCGCTGAGTAGTGAGTTCGATCCTCACTCGGTTCCCCCTACTTTCGGTCTTGTGCCACATCTAAGCTACGCTTGGAAAATCACTATAAATGTCAAATAAAGTCTAAGATATAACTTACGATTTATACCTAGGCTTCGTATGTATTTATCTCTGTCATTTCGTATCTATCTCAATCTGCTCATATCTATTATCTCAGTCTGTCGCATATCTCTCTCTCTCTCTCTCTCTCTCTCTCAATCTATCTATCTCAATCTTCTCATATCTATTATCTCAGTCTGTCGCATATCTCTATCTCTCTCTCTCTCTCTCTCTCTATCAATCTATCTATCTCAATCTGCTCGTATCTATCTCAGTCTGTTGCATCTCCCTCCCTCTATCAATCTATCTATCTCAGTCTGTTCGTATCTATCTGTATATCTTTGTTTATATCTATCTATTATCTCAGTCCCTTCATATCTATCTATCTCAGTCTCTTCATAGCTATCTGTTATCTCAGTCTGAGGATATCCATCTGTTCATATCTATCTATCTATTATCTCAATCTGTTCATATCTATCTATCTTAGTCTGTTATATCCATCTATCTCAATATGTTCGTATTTTAGTCTGTTCATATTTATCTATGTATTTATCTAAGCCTGTTTTTTCTTTTTTTTCTCTTTATTTTTTGTCTGATGTTCGTTGTATTGTAATGGATATCGGCTCGTAACTCGGAGAGCCGAGTTCGAATTGCAGTCGAGTTACGCACAAATATACTTGGGTAAAAAGTATGGGTCGAATAGCAGGACAGACTGGTTTCTTTAGCATTGGTTGGCAATTGGTTGGCAATGGTATTGGTTGGCAATTGGTTGGCAATGGTATTGGTTGGCAATTGGTATGGCAATGGTATTGCTGGTATTCTTACTCCAGTTTGGGAGTTCACTATTTCCCCATAGCTGAAACCTTAACAGGTGCTACCACCCCGGGTTAGGTTGGACATGGAAACACCAGCAATTAAGAGATGGTTCCATGCTTCTCAAAACCTTCCAATCAAAGGCCTTGCTGCCGGACGTACTTTATCCTCATACCCAGGACGAACAATGTAATTAAACGAGGAGAAAAGATTTGATGGTAACTTTTGTGATGTCAACGAACACTCTTTGTCACTTTCGTAAATGCTCGTTGTAGTAAAGACTTTATAATCACAGATAGAACTCAACTATAGTAACACCTTTGAACAATGCTTGTGTCAGACGCCTTCGTATATCACTCGCACTAATAGTACTTGCTCGATAATACTCGCTCGAATAGAAATCCGTATAGAGAAATAGTATAGTGAATAGAGTAGAGAATAGCGGTCCATATAGTAATAGAGATATACAATAGAAATGCGATCCGTATACTATCGAGGATAGGCTAGAGATAGCGATCAATCTAGACGTCACACGACTTCTTAAATATGCGTTTCCTCTATGGTCACATGAACCACTTCATTCAATAATGGGATCACCTGTGTTTGCTCACTGGCGATCTATGTTCAAACTCAAGTGTCGGCAGCGACACTTTATTCGTATATAACAGTAACTTACATTTTCTAAGTAAGCTTGATTTATTTGAGAAGGATATAACGATAATCCAGAATATATGCTTGAACTATACGCTGCATACGAATAAAAAATAAATTAAATAAATATGCAAAAATAGAAAGAGGCGTAAAGAAATGATATGGCTTCTCACGAGACTAATTCAACTTTTACAGCAAGGTCATCCTTAGTGGAATTACGGGTCCTACCAGGATTCATTGTGGCGGCCACAATCTTAACCATATTGGACATTCAGATGACACAGTGTTGATAGAAGACTCAGAAAGGAACTTCTACGGAAGATACTAAAGGAAATTGAAAGGACGAAACATCAATTGTAAGAAGGCAGAATAAATGGTTGTCAGCAAAAGAGACAGCTCAAAATGCAAATTACAAATTGGAAACGCCAAAATCAAGTAAATACAATAATTTTAATATCTGGGAAGTCCTTTACCAGAGGACGGAAAGTGTGACACCGAAATCCGAAGGTGTATTGGGATAGTGAAAGATGCATTCCAAAAGTTAAACAAAGTATTAAAAATCAGGAAAATTTTGTTAGAAACTCCGAAAGGCGTACTGAACTGTTATGTAATATCAGTCGCCCTATATGGCGGTGAATGCTGGGCAGTCTCATCACAGCGACTTGAAGTAACAGAAGTGTGGTTCTACAGGAGGATGATGAGGATGCCATGAACTGAACATGCGATCCACAAAGAAGTTTTAGATAAAATGGAAACCAAAAGTCTACGTATTAGCATCAGAAAGAGACAGTTGAATTTTGTATGACACATAATGGCGAAAGAGAAAAGAAGGCAAGGAAAATTTGACATTCACAGGACCTACTGAAAGTAAGAGAGACAGGGGAAAGCATCGGATAATCTACCGAACGAGAAAATGGTAGGCACAACAGGGTTTAGGAGGGATGACAAAATGACAGAATTTTCTAAGAGCAACAACATCCTGAAGGGAGGCGGTACACAGAAGAAAATAGAAGAATCTGCTTAAATGTGTGGCCTCCACATTAGTCAAACGAAAGATAAACCTCCTGGACGACATTTTGCTACTTAAACGTAATTAAAATATTCATTTTACGACAAGCGATGAAAAGTGGATACTTTACTTTAGGGCAAGTAAAACGAACGACTGCTAACCATATCAAAGGCGTATCTTCACCCAAAGAAGGCGATGTTGTTTAAGGGGACTAAGAAGAGAATACTCTAACAAAGGATTGATTCGAATAAGTACTACTCCAAGTTAAAATTCATTGAAGGTAGAAATCGACGAAAATCGCTTGGAATTAGCTAATTGAATGTCCACAATATTTCCTCAAGGTAACGCTAGGCTGACCGCATACTTTAGGGCTAGTAAAACGAACGACTGCTAACCATATCAAAGGCGAATCTTCACCCAAAGAAGGCGATGTTGTTTAAGGGGACTAAGAAGAGAATACTCTAACAAATGATTGATTCGAATAAGTACTGCTCCCAGTTAAAAATAATTGAAGGTAGAAATCGACGAAAATCGCTTGGAATTAGCTAATTGAATGTGCACAATATTTCCTTAAGGTAACGCTAGACTGACCGCATGTTTCTTTGGTGATCAAGCAAAATATATTAGACCTTGGTTTAGGGGTTTTCACTCATCCGCCATATTTAGCAAACATTGTATCTTCGGATTATTATTTCTTTTACAGAATTTTCTTCATGAAAAATATAAATTCTACAAAAATTTACAAAAGGCGGCTGGAATAGTTGATTTCTGCGAAATAAAAATCCAAGAGAATGAATTACAAAGTTGCCTAAAAGACAACAGAATATTCTGGGAGAAAACGGTATCTTATTCAATGAAACTAATGTCGAAAATAAGAATTTTTGTTTCTTATTCTTACTTAATAAACCGAGAGAAATGTTTATTTACCCAATATATCACTTTTGGCAGAAATTTCATTACATTTGCTTCTTTTGTTGTTGTTATTTCATGCACGTTCATTTTATTGTAGCGCCAAGTTCATTCGAGTTAAAGACACAGAACGACTGACGTCATTAGAATACATAAATTTCATTGGTTTCTGTTAAATGACGTAACAAAATCTAAACCAATCAGAGATTTTCTCGGGGTAGTTACTTACCTAACACGACTAAAATTCTAACAAGCCAGAGAAATTACAAATAAAGCTTTTGTTTTTGTTTCTAGAGGTTTTGACAGAATAATTTATTAAATATTAATTGTTTTTTGTCTATCTTTCGAAAAATAAAATAAAATAATAAAAAAAAAATGGATGGGTAGATTATATTTTCTGCGCCGCTAGATGTCATTTCATTTGATTTTCTTTTGCCAAAATTTTGTTTTTAATCATTTCACCCCGAGCAAGGCAATAAAGTCACTAAGACTCAAGGGATTACTGAGTGTGAGAGAATAGGAAAAATAGGATTTTTTTTTGTGCTCTCTCGCTCAACTGCACCCCATGCATAATAATCAAGGGGGTGCAGTCTGGGGAGTTAGGTGGCCAGATGTAAGGAGTGATGTGGTCGCAGAAATTGTCTGAGAGCCATGACTAGGTTCTCCTGCTTGTGTGGCATGGTGCAGAGTCCTGTTGCCAGACATAGAATCAACCAGCAGTAACTTTCTTGGCCCAGAACAGTACTCCCTCTTCACGGCACTTGATGTCGGACTCCGTATTGAGTGTGAGGCCCTGTAGGAAGATGAATGGCGGTATAACCCCGCCATCATTAGAGATCACGCCAAACACTTTCGTAATCACCATTAGACTCATCCAACATTTTCCTTATCCTCTACACTCTCCTCATATTGACACTCTTAAATGTTCGTATTGTAGCTTCCGGTGCGAATGCCAAGCAGTACAGCATACGGTTTCCAATTTTTCTGCCGGATTGAACTGCGTCATGGTGCTCTTTTTCTGACAGACGGTGCCCGATTGAGTCTACTATACTGTGCAGTGGACAAAATAAAAATTAAAAAAAAACAACGCGCATGCGCTAAATTAAAAATACAAAATAGCGACAATTTACCCATCGCACCCTGTAGTATGATGATAAATTTTGAAAAATAAGTCAATAATAATGGGCTTAAAAATAGATGAATAAAGAAATGCAGATGTACTAAAAATAAAGCCAAATTGTTCCCACTCCTATCAAAATCAAAACAAACACTTAATTAAACTTTTCTCTATTTTTCTATCCGATTCTCTTTCTTTGAACTACCACACCTACGTCGACTGCGTATCTAAAATCCGGATATTTAGGATAAATCTAAAATGGAATCAAACGAATAAAAAAAAATCTTTTTACACATCCTGCAAACAGCTGTCTATACCGTATATAAAACCCGATACTTTGACAATGAAATCCCCCAGTATTTATTACACATCACATATATGCAACTACACATAAGCAGGAGAAACGTCAACAGATTTTTCCAGTTGCATATCTGCCTTCGCACATAGGCGTGTGATGTGATTGGTCCATCACAAATCGCCATTTAGATATTGACACCAAAACACCACAAAATAATAAAAATTCAAGGATGGTGATACTAAATTTTATTGTTTTATTTATGAAACTAGGAGATAAGTACCCCCGTTCGTCTACACACAAGGCTCTAAAGTTGTCCACTCACTCCAAAACTAAATTGGTTAGAATTAATTTGCTAGCTTTACATATATAAAGATTCGTTTCGTAAAGGCAAATAGACAAGTACTATAATGGCAACCCCACAAAACGAATTAAAAAATTCATGAAAATACTATAATGGTTTATTCATATGAATAAATATGAAAAATATAAATAAATATGAAAAATAGGAATAAATATGAAAAATAGAAATAAATATGAAAAATAAGAATAAATATGAAAAATAAGAATAAATATGAGAAATAGAAATAAATGTGAAAAGTAGGAATAAATATGAAAAATATAAATAAATATGAAAAATATAAATAAATAGGAAAAATAGGAATAAATATAAAAAGTAAGAATAGATATGAAAAATAGACATAAATATGAAAAATAGGAACCAATATGAAAAATAGAAATAAATATGAACAATAGAAATAAATATGTAAAACACATCACTGGAAATTCATAAGAATATTACATTTGTTTATTCAAATAAATTCTGTTTATTATTCAGTCATTAAATCATTTTCATATTTATCTATGAACTAACAGCACCATTTGAATAAAGTGTGTATTCATTCATAAAAGAACGATTCCGATTTTGCTCATTTTTAGGGACATTTTTCGATATTATATAATAGTCGCCAATGCTGGCCGTACAAGAAATATTCTATGGAGCCAAATAATTGAATCATCTGAAGGTGATAGTTCCAATAAATATACGGCCTGTGAAAAAAATGTTTCATCCCGGTTCTATGTTTATTTGTTGCGTCGCATTTTTCAACTGAAGGGAGGATGTTTTCTTCCAGAAAAAAATCTCCGGCCGACTTTGGCCATAAGTAAATCGTTTCTTTCTCAGTGCGGAATTCAACCGAGCCAGTTGCTCACAGTAGGTTGCGCAGTTAATCCCGATTCCGACCATTTGTAAAGAAGACTTCCTACAGAACCCCGTAAATTCTTTCATCATTGGATTCCGTTTAGCTTGAGGTGTTTAACGCGGTCCAGAATCAAGCCACAATTTTCTTGTGTTTGCATTCTCGCAATAAATCTGTTTTTCATCAGAACGATTATTGTTTAAGCAATAATCCATTTTGGTGCCTCATGGTGGTAAAATTGTCAGCCAACTAGACTTGTAGGTCGTTGATAATGAGTTAGATCCTCACCGGGGCTCTATGCTTGTGTGCAAGATTATTTTTTCTGTAATCGTTCTTTTCTTTTAGCTTTGTTCATTTTTCTTCCATCTTTCTTTTATTTTCCTTTCTTTACATTGCTTTTTTTTCTTCTTTCTACAGGTTTTTTTTCCGTCTTTCTTTTTCTTTCTTTCTCCACTCGTCACTTTCGTTTTGTTTTTGTTTTTTTCTAGAGTTATTCCCTATTTCTTTCTTTCTTTCTTTCTTTCTTTCTTTCTTTCTTAAATGTACAATTCTGATCCGTAGTTTCTTTCTTTTTGAACCTCTATTTTTCTTTCTTTCTTTCTTTCTTTCTTTCTTTCTTTCTTTCTTCAATGTTTTCTTATACGTTTCTTACTCTCTAACTTTTCTTGTCTTTTCTTTTATTTCTTTTTCAGGATTTTTCATTTTTTTTTTCCTTCCTTTCCAGTTTTCGCGCCATTCTTTCTCACGTGACCCCTCCTCCTTTTCCTTGCTTTTCTTGAATTGTTACTTTTTCTTTCTTCACTTTTCGCTTTGTTTCTCTCCTTCTCTCCCTCAACATTAGTTTCTTTTTTCTTACGATGTTCTCTTTATTTCTTCCTTTTCTTTGTTTCTTCTCACTCGTTCCCTTTCTCATTCTTTCTCACCTATCTCTCTCTCTTTCTTCTGCATTGCATTTCGTTCCCTATTACCTTCTGTATTTCTGTATTTCTTCCTTTTTACCTTCTTTTTCCCTCCTCCTCCATTTTTATCGTTCTGCTTCTTCTCCTCCGCCTTTTGTCTCCTAATTAAAGACGAATGAAGCTATCGATCCTTTTTTTTCCATTTCCAATTACTCTGAAATTTCAATTACGCGGACAGTCAAAGAAGGAAGACAAACTATAATGTCCCATTACTGAGCCAATGGCCACACCCTTCTTCAATAAAAAAAAAACAAGGCATAATGGTTGACTTCATGCACAAAGAATCATTATTACTTCTCTTGAAAGAAAAACAACAATTCGCTTTTGTCAAGAATTCCCGCCCTTCACATATTTAAAATCGAACATAAAACTTATGGCGTTTAATTTTTCCCTTTTATTTCAAGTAAACGATTTTATTGAATCAAACTTTACTTCGCTAATAGTATGGGCAACAATATTATTCGAATTTCTGAAAAGAAGTACTGCCAATAATCTGTCTGACGTGTCAGCTGCCCTACCGTTTAAACAACAGACATCAACCTATTAATTCAGATCTATCGATATACTCTTCATTCATTATTTTCCTCCACTGTATACTTTGTTTATATGCGTGGATGGAAGGTGCGTCGCTAAAATCCAAAGTTGCATTGGAATAGCGAAAAATGCCTTCCAAAAGCTAAGCAAGGTATTAAGATACAGGAAAATTTTATCAGAAACAAAGAAAACAGTACTGAACTGTTACGTAATATCATCAATCGTCTAATATAAAAGAATAGACTTGAAGCAAAAAAGAAATGTCGTTCTACATAAGGATGCTGAAAATATCATAGATTGAACAGGTCAGCAACGACTAAGGTTTAGAGAAAATGTAAACAAAAAGGACACATGCTTAATATCAGAAAGAGACGGTTTGCAGAAAATTTCTTTGGCTCAAGGGTAATCAAAGTCGGTCTAGCAGTAAGCACGCCTAGTCTTGCGTCCCAATTTTAAACAGGGATCAAATAAGAGCGCGCAAAACAACTCCGTTCGCGTAATGTCCTCAAAAAAAAAATAAAGAAAGCTACTGAAAGGAAGAGAAGGTAGACCTGCGCATCCAACTCTTCCGGTAACAAAAGACTGCCCTGGAGCAGCCTCGCTTTGAATAACTAGAATCCGTCAGCCACTCAGTTTCTACGTTCGACGGCCTCCCCATAAGTGTAGGTAATTTCACTTATTTTTCCACAGGCTGAAATATGTATAATATATCAAATAATGAGAAAAAAGAGCTTCGAAAGTTTGATACTCACTGGACAGATTGCAGGCAAGATGGACAGAAGAAAACAATGCATAACCTACTTAGCCAGCTTATGTAAATAGATGGCAGAGCTAGGTTTAGGAGAGATAACAAAAAAAAAACAAAATTTATTAAGAGCTACAAAGCACAGGAAGTTGTGGAGAGCCATGATTGCTAAAGTCCTGAAGGGACACAGCACAAAGAAGACAAAGAATTGGTCGTAATATTATTCAAGTTTCTAAGACACTTTGTCAATTATTATTAATCTTTGACCAATATTTCTTTTAGCATACGTTTTTCTTTTCCATTGCAACTCCCAGGCCGTTATTCTACGATCTTTAGTAAACAGTTCGAGTTGGAAATGACTTATAAGCCACTGGTGGGATTAACAATCATAGAGTAACAGCTGCGATAAAAAATCAACAGAAATAAGAATTAAATGAATACTAAGGGTAAATTGATAATAATAATTTTTTATGAATAATCAACAGTGGTCTCCCCTTGTTTTGTTACTCTCCTCTTTGAGAGAACTATTTCTGTTTACTGGGACTTTAAAAGGACACTATACGCGAAGTTTGTATCCTCAGTTGAATAATACGCGAATTTTGTATTCCCAGTTGAATAATGCGCGAACTTTGTATCCTCAGTTGAATAATACGCGAATTTTGTATCCTCAGTTGTATAATACGCGAATTTTGTATCCTCAGTTGAATAAAGCTTTCTTAAATCCTACGAGCATTTTTGTCATTACAATAATAATAATACGTCATAAGTTTTGTTTTGGTGAATTATGACAGCAGCACATATTTGACCATGCCCCCCCTAGAAGTTAAAGCATTGCGCATATCTGCTCATGAATGGTTGTAGTGGGAGGACACATGGGTGAGTGATGACAGGGTTTTTTTTTTAAGTTTGAAGAATGAATTCGCCAAGATAACTTGGGAGCCACATCGAGACACTTAGGGACACTGTTAATCAGAGACCGTCTAAGCAGACCGCATAACCTGAATGTATTTCTAAGGGCCTACCTGCAAGGTTATGCGCTGATTTTATCAAAGCCTGTCACCATATCGCGAACATTTGCCTGGGATGCTTGTGCCTGTATACCCTTATCAGACTGGGGCCCATGCTACGTACATTTGTGTCATGTACATTGTTGGTGGCGCTGCTCTCTCACTTAATAATAATAATAATAATAATAATATACAGAAACAATGGCAAGATAAACAGCTTAAGATACAGAAACAATGGCAAGATAAATCGCTTCATGGCCAATACTCTGCCCGTACCAAACAAGCTGACGTAGACAAAACCCGTACCCATCAGTGGCTACGTAGTGCAGGGTTGAAAGCGGAAACTGAAGGTTTTATCCTTGCTGCGCAGGACCAATGCTTGCTAACTAGGAATTATCAAGCACATATACTAAAATATTGTGTCAGCCCAAAATGCAGATTCTGTGATAAATATCCAGAAACGATTGATCATCTTGAATCAGGTTGCACGATATTGGCACCCACTGAATATGACCCGGCATGACAGAGTAGGCCAATATCTGCACTGGAAAATTTGCAACTTCTACGGGAAGGAAACTGAAAGAAACTGGTATGAACACCACCCAGACCCGGTTACGAAGATAGAACCTGTTACAATTCTATGGGATTGCACAATACACACTGACAGAACAATCAAAGCCAACCGCTCAGACATTGTTATTAAAGACCACAAATAAAAAAGTGCCTCCTTATTGATATGGCAGTCCCTACAGACTGCAATGTATCTTTGAAGATATTCAAAAAGCTGCCAAAATACAAGAACCTTGAAATAGAAATCTCGAAAATGTCGCATATAGGAACATCAACAATCGCTGTTGTAGTTGGAGCCCTAGGACTAGTTGGAAAAGACTGAAGTAGACGAATTGAAGGGATTCCTGGAATTCCATGCCTCAATGTGATACAAAAAATTGTTCAGTACTTTACGAAGGGCTTTATCTATGTAATTTTTTTTTTTTTTTTGTCAGTGGAAAGTGTCATGATGCCATCTCTAACCTTAGGTCCCTGAGCGGGACCCGGAAAGAAATGTGTAAACGTCAGAAATCAAAGGAAATAATAATAATAATAATAATAATAATAAAGTCCATCTTTTAGAAAATCGGAATAAAGCCTTTTATCCCATTTCTTCAGAGGTCTTCAAATATTCTGCGAAAGGTGTTCTCTGATCATAATGCAAGATCACCGGTTGAAAACGAAAGATCACGCAGAAAATACTACTACTACTACTACTACTACTACTAATAATAATAATAATAATAATAATAATAATAAACTTTACACCAGTTTTTGTCGAGTAAGGAGTGAACTCACTATATTTACAAGAGTAAATATCACTATGTTTTTGCGACTTATATTGTTACCACAACGTTTCAGGCGATCCGTTATACAGCTGCCTTGGACAGAACTAATCTTCGCAAATTTTAATATTGCATGAATTATTTGTCGTGTAAACATTCAAAAGAATATAGACGGGAAATACAGACAAGAAATCTGCATTCCTCTAAAAGTCAGATGAGAAGAAAGAAGAAAATCTATATCTAAATCTGTTATGGCAAACCAGAACTGAAGTGAGATTACCATTCTATTTTATCAGATTAAACGAAGTTTTAAAATACGCCAGGCGTCTCGCTGTAGACCAATGGTTAGTAAGCTATTATTACATTATTACTGTATTTGGAATTTCATTGTTATGGCCTATGTACCACATGATGAAGATAGATAGATAGATAATTAAGAGACTGGGATAGATAGATAGATAGATAGATAGATAGATAGATAGATAGATAGATAGATAGATAACTTAGTGTGATGAATCAACTTAATTATGCCACTATTTTCTCTTTATGTTACATATGTTATCCGTTTTATTTGTGGCTGATGCTGAAATTCTTTAATCGATGTTTCTGTTATTTAGTAAAGTTCTTTGTGATTATGTAGCGCCAGTCTACAAGATCCGACGAAGGATAGTTCACTTCAAGACCGACAGGCTTCATTCACTTGAAACCATTTCTAATCATTGATCTGACAAAAAAGGCTGTATATATCTGATAGTTTATGCCTATGTTACTCAAAGGGTGTCGGTGCCGGTACGCGAGACATCGTTTGCCGGTACGCGAAGATCCTGGAAACAAAGAAACAGTAATTACATTTCACGCCCACGGTAGACTGCCGAGGTGGGTTTTTTTTTTTTGTTTTTTGGCTTGTTTTTTTTGTTTTGTTTTTTTGTTTTTCGTTTTTTTAATAAAAAAGCAAAGTGAGAATGCCACTAGTACGCAAGGGTGTTACAGAGAGTGAAATTGAGAGAAAATACAGGGCATAGGGAGATTGAGGAAAGGATAAAAGATGAACAGGGTTCAAGGCAACAGAAGATGGTGATTGGCGTTCCATTTAATTTCTTTAAAGATTACCAGGGAGTCAAGTAAGCGGGAAGGAGTTCCACTGTCGGGAAGCGCAAGCATAGAAACTGTAGGAGTAAAAGTGGCGGTTACATTTAACAGTTTCAGCAGTAAACTCCCAGGCTGTGCATGTGGACTTTGGAAGCAGGAATCTAGAAACCAGAGGAAGCGATTGAAGAGTTAAGATTTCTTTTGGCAGAGAAGCTAAAAAGTCAGAAGACTTTTCAAAGAGGAACGATTCCACACTGCAGAAATTGGTACGAATGCCACAAATATTGGAGAAGGAAAGATTAAGGGAATTTTCGGTGTTTTTTGTTGAGCAGGTTTAGGTTAATATCTTTAGTTATTTATAGTCATGATGTGTTATATTGCTAAGGGAAGGCCTAGGGTA